ATAGTTTCATCAGAATTGCATGCTGTAATTTTAATTTTGTGTGATTCTGTATATGAAGGAGACACATGGTTCTCTTTTTCTAACAATTACAACACTGGCCGAGATCGTCATTTCATAACATGATCATCGGTTAATCGGCTTAAAAGCCAGAAGGTCAAACGTAATTAAAACGATGCGTTTTAAAGCCGCCTATTCTGTGCCTCTTTGCAAATCACGATAAAATACACACGTATCATTAAAATTTTTTTAATTATATGGCTGATATTAGCTTTATTATCTTTTGCTATTATCTTTGACTGATTATTCGACTGATACTTTTAGCTGATGTTGTACGGACAAAACGCTCCTTAAACGAATACGAAATCGTATTTTGATACAAAACACCTAATAACGTCTCAATGATATAATTGTCTATATTTACATTTATATGCGCAATCGCGATAAGTATAGGCATTCATAATATTTATCTGCAGAATAATTAATATTGTATAATGCAACATTATCTCTCGAAAAATCTGCTCCTAGATAAATGTAAATTCGTTGACACTTGAATTTGCAGTGATTCGTTACATTTGATTCACGGTAGTCTTCCAAAAGCTGCGTGTCGTCTTGACGAATCACGCATCCTTGTACGTAAAGATAAGATAAATTGTAATTTGTTACCATAAGGCAAACAGTGAATATAACGACTTTATGTGCAAAGGAATTTGGAATTTTACGTCACAACACATATCGTATACTGGTATAATTTACATATTAACACTGTTTCGCTCACATTATAAAGTTAGCAATATATAATTCGTTCTCTTAATTGTGGGGCTGGTTTATCGATGCAATGATCATACCAAAAAAATTTTATTCTAGATTTCAGTATATCCGACTAAACTACAGAATGTTTTCTACTAAAATACGCGCCAAGTATATATTATAAAAATTAGAGGATTTCCCTCTAATATGATAAGATATTCTAATTATTTAGAATATTCCTCTATTGTGGAGTAGAATATATTTTAATCTTTACATGACACACACGCACGCACGCACGCACGCACATGTATATATATATATATGCATATGAATCTATTTATACATCATTCTGTGGACTAATACCGGATATCGAGTGCTCACTGAACTGCTTTTTTCGTTGAACGTAGCCAATTTAACTGATAACATGCAAACGTAATATGTACATGATACGCGTACACTCACATTCCAATTAATACACAAAAATTCCGATTCGTACTTACTCTCAAAACGACTGACTAATTCTGGTAAATTGTGCTCAAGCAACCACTTCTCCACCTTTTCCATTTCACGATAAACAACTACGTGTAGTCTATTCGAACACAGAACTCGCGGACATATCAGGACACGATACGGTATATAAACATAATACGCGCGGGCTTGCACATGCATAAACACGAAAGCGAGTATTATTTGTTAACCAAGTGTCGACATATTTTAGAATATTTTCTTTATTTCATATTATTCTAAACAAGATATATCTATAGAGGAATATTCTAAATATTTTAGAATATTCGATTAGAGGATAGCTTTAAACGGAATTATCCTCTAATACAGAATACGATTTTTTCGGTGTCACTTTATCTCGCTCTCACAACGGTTTGAGTAGAAGCTGCGGTAATTCACGCATTTTTGTTGTACAGACAATGCCAGGTATGCCTTAACACCTAAAATTGTACGAGTATTGTACGATATAATCCAAATGCATTATGATCCCAATACTCGTACAATTTCAGGTGTTAAGGCATACCTGGCACCGTCTGTACTCGTAAAAGTATATACAGTTGATTATCATTGGCTTTGTTTACTGAATTGTGATAGTACAGGATATTAGAGCGATGTACGGAACATATATGGCGCTATGCCGATTTTGGCATTATTTTTACGATGGCACTCGGGAAAGGTGAATCCATAAAGAGAGAGGAATTTGATGATGGTGCAATTCCGAGCGGAAAGACACCGACGAAAATAAAATGTACGTAAGATGTGATCTATGACACCTTGATATTAGTTTCTCCCATTTGTACACGGAAAGAACAATTTTGCTGAAGCATCTAAAAAGTTAATTGTAGATATAGAACATGTATATATTATATATATATATGTATAATAATAAGATTGAAAATAAGACCGTTTATGTTAGAAACATTACTTTAAATACGAAGCGCCACTATGTTAAGATGTTCAACTATTATATACCTATATTCATTTAAATGAATTAATTTCAGAAATCATAATTGCGTATCGATATGATTATCGGACTTTCAACGCAATCAATCTGAAATATTAATAATCCCCCCGAATTTCTCAAATTTAATCTGAAAAACAGTAACAAACTTATTGCGAAAAATATTACCTCAGCCTGGAGTCGAACCCGGATCTCTTCCATTCCGTGCGAGCGTTCTAAGTCTTTAAACCACCGAATAATTATGATTTCTGAAATTAATTCATTTAAATGAATATATATAATAGTTCAACATCTTAATTATAATGAATATGTCTTAGCATATAAATACGTTAATGACTGAATTTCTCGAGCGTCCTCTGTGAATCGCGCAGGGCCCTCGAGCAGAAATTCGGACTATTATAAATGTGCTAACTAGTGAAATATATGCGATCTGTATAAATTCTATGGATTAAAATATTAAATAAATATTTCTTTGCTCTATCTGGCAGGCCACTTGCAAGCGATTACAAAGAAACGCAGTAAAATTTTTCTAAGGAATGCGGGAGAATTGTATTCACGTGTTATCGCGCGGGTGTGAGTAATGAGAGATGGCTTTTCTTATTGATCTGCGAAAAAATTGTACACGTTTTGCCGGCGGAACCTGTTTCGCCCCACCGAGTAACACGACTGTCGCGACGTCGTCATCGTCTTCTTCACACTTCTTTCATGTCGACTATATTTGTCTAGGGAATCGATTTAATCAGTTAAAAGGTTGTCGCACTTCATTCTGCATGTGCAACTGAAGAAGAATACCTACCTAAAGGACATTCTTCTCAAGGTGTATGCGCAACAGCTGAGAGCGAAGAATAAGAATTATCGGTGCGGTGGTGATTCATTGAAAAATCAATTTACTACGTTCCAAATTGTTGTATATCTTGCCCAAACATTTCACGAGGGAAGAAATCATCCGACGACAATAATCAAAAATATTTTAATGAAACCTAAAGGCAAGTTATCGCCAAATTCTCTATTCGTAATATTTTTGCAAATTTCAAAACTTTCAAAAAATTTATAATTCAAAAAATTTCAAACGTACCGGATCAAATATACCTATCGAAAAATATGAAAAATACATAAAAACGTTTCTGCAAACAAAAGTTGCATCGCTTGAAGGGGTGCAATAATGGTTTTTGAAAGAAGCAATTTTATAAGGTTATATATATAAGGTCTTCGTCATTTTTTATAAAGAATTTGTAAGACTTTTTTTCACACAATATGACTCTAATTATTTTGGGTATAAAATACCTAAGTACCAAAATAAAGATATCGAAAAATCAAGAATAGTCGAAGATACAGACTCTGATTTTAACTAATTTACGGAATATATTTTATGCTTTATTTTAGAACATTTTAATATGGAATATGTAGAATATCTCATGAACTGTTAATTTTTTATAATCGTACCTGAATTTTTATGCACAAAATAATGGAATGAATCAATATATGTATAAAGAAAACATATGGCTGCTTATATAGAAGAAACATGCATTTCATGTTGTAAAACTCATAATCTTTTTAATTATAGCAACTATGTAAAAGATACATAGTTGCTTATTAAAAGAATTATGCATTTTGTATACATAATGTAATTTATCTAATTATTCTGCATATATGCATAAGTGTATTAAGATAGAGATATTGAAAACGCAGTAGTTTTCGAGTTGTTTTATACCTTATTCTGCCACATATGGATATAAAATATAAAATTAATACTTTGTAAACTACATTAATTTTTTGATAATCGTAATTTAATACTTTTACGCATCGAATAATGAGATGATCATTAATTTCTTTACATTGATGATTAACAATTAACATTGATATCATGTTATTTTTAGTTTGTCAACTGGGCAGAGTTCCATATCGTCCTAATTCTTCACAAACAGTGTACTTTTTATTGGAAGGAAACTTGTGAAATAAAGATTTTTTATTCTCACTTTATTTCATATCTCCATAAATAGAATTTTAAGAAATAAAATTAATTAAATGGGTATTATTCGGCTCAGGTATACCTTATTCTCAATTAAAATATTACAATTTATAACTTAATTGCAATTAATTATTAATTATTAAGGTAAATCTCTCTAAAAGTTAATAATTTTATTGCGTTAAAAAAATTCGAAGAGCATTAGTTTCTCTTATCAATTAATTTCATCAATCAGTTCCTAAAAATTTCTCAGAATTCGATAATGTTTGTAAATATATTTTGGATAATTCTTGTGTGTGGATTCTCGTGTTTTGACTATATTTTGAACAGCATATTAAGGACGAATGCTATCAATAAATCGTTAGTCAAGCTCGATCCATCTCACGGTATCCATGTGTTGATCGATGTTATACGTTCCCGATTACGCGTAATCTTTAACTTCAAGATAATGGCATTGCGATTAAGAGTAATACGAATTATCATGCAAATTGGAAGTACACCTAACAAACTGCATCAGTATTTTATTCTAAACTTATAACGCTTCTTGAGAAGCAAACTTTGACGTAATTAATATAAGCCAGGCAAAACGGTTATCATAATTATTTTAATTTCTTCCACATTGCAAATATATTTCCATGTATTAGTGAAGGCAACTTGTGTAACTGTTCGCAACTACATGCAACCACTTCATCACATAGAAATTCAAATATATATCAACAAGTTATCTTGTAATAGTTTAGTGTAAAGAATATTGTGGTCTGACGTATATTCTATGAGAGATTTGTCTTGCACAGTTATTGTATAATAACGCCTTTATAAATTAATTTATTTTCATTAAATGTGACAGTGTATTTGTATTAAGTGAAAACAACGGAATTGTACAGTAATGTTATCGTTACGATATCGAAAACTACATCCACACAGAGATAGTTCTTGTTTTAAGTATAACATTGGCGTTTCATTAACGGCAACATTCATTTATCGTGGCAATATCGATTGTTGTTCACAATAAACTCGTATGTACAACGAATCAGTCGATCATATGTGCATAACTAGTCGCAAATGTGTCTGAGTTTGACGAGCGTTGGCAAGAAAAATGGTTTTTGGACGCTTTGTTAATCTATTTACTATGTATAGATCGTATAGATACAAACGTATGCGCCGTATATCAGGTGTCAATTTAGTTTTAATTATATAAATCTGAATCAATCATATCATCGAATTACCATAACTGATTGCTGTTTCTGCTTCTAGGTGAAGAAATAAAGTCTGAGGTTTCAGGTCCTGCAAACTTCGAACGAGCAATTATAGCAACAGGTGAGTAAATTATATAATATTATAGGAGAGAGTTATCAGATGTATAACAATTAAGTAACTTTTTATTATATTTTCCTTTTGGCATTGATTTTTGTACATAAATAAACATTGAAAATTGCAGCTTAATGCTTCAGATATCTATTACTATATGTTTAACCTTTCAATAACAAATTAACTTAGTTAAGTCTTTAGCTAAGTCTTTTTACAATATTGTTTATGACGTATCATTTCGCCCACGTGTATAAAAATATAAAGGATAATAAAGCTCGATAATAATAAATAAAATCAGAAATTGGAAGGGCTGCGAGCCAGAGATACAAAAACAAAGGAAATATATTATCAAATTATAAAAATGAAATTATAGCAAAACAAACGTTTCGACACCTTAGATTTTGTTGCGGTATATCGTCTGAGTTACATCGCTCTTTGTTGAGACGCTATATATTTTTGGCACATCTTTTCTTCTCATTGCAATTGCTCCAATATAGGATTTTACAAGCGACTGTTACTTTTTCTCCTTTTAATGAGATGTAAATTCTTCTCTTAAGAAGATCTTTTTATGTTAATCTTCTACATTGCTGGAATGCTTTTAAGGTTTTTTTTTATGAGAATTTTATCTTTGGACTACTATGAGAATCTTAACTTTGGACTAACATTACAAAATAGGACAACTTTTACAAGAACACACGCAAAATGCCATTGCTTTTCGTGGGTTTCTGGATTATTTAGAAGGATTAAAGGAATGACTACATTGTTGCAAGCATTTCAGTAATTAACAAATATTTATATTATATTATATTATACACGTATTAAGTGATAGATAATTTATATAATGATTCCGTTTGTAATAATTTAACATTTATAAATAATTTTTTGTCAACATTGAGAATGACCCGATCGGTGTCGAAACGTTTGTTTTGCAGTAATTTCATTTTTATAATTTTATAATATATTTTCTTTGTTTTTGTATCTCTGGCTCGTAGCCCTTCCAATTTCTGATTTTATTTTTACAATATGTTGCAAAAGATATGATTTATGCAATTGACTCTTTATCTAAATCATTCCTGGTATAGATTTCGTAAATTGTACTGTTTTTAGAAATATCTAAATATTTACGTATCTAAATATTTACAGATAAATATAATTAAAAGTATAAGATTAATAAATTAATTAATAAAGGGGATCATCAACTAATATTTATTTTATTAATAATTTATCGAAAAATGTCAAATGTTTAACAATTAATACATAATAACGAGACAAGAACATCGAAATAAAACTGACTCGAATTTATATTTTTGCAATTTTTAACATATTTTTATGATATTTTTATTAGTTATCCACTATAATATAGTTTTATTATTATCAATATTTTACGTTAATATCATTCAGTATAATAAATTTGTGGTGCTACGATTTAAGAAACTTGATAGATTTTACAGAAGTATATGTAAATGTATATATGTATATATATATATCGATTTAATTTTTATAACAATTACAAATAAGTATATACAATAAATGTAAAATATTTTACAATAATCAGTATTTAATGAAAATATAAAAATTCAGAACAACATTGCATGATTACATTATTATCAGCAACATGAAGCAGTAAAAATTAATATCAATTATACGTGATATTGATTTTTTAAAGTGCCGTTTCGCACACATACAGCAAGATATAATCTGTTAAATTTTTATTTATATTACACTGAGAAAAAAAATAGTTGTGGCAATTATAAAGTATTTTAATAAGTAATGAGAACTAAAGTAGTACCAAATACTATAAAAATATAGTATTCAGTACTACTTTAGTTTTTATTACTTTGTACAACTAGTTGCAAGTAACTATATTTTTCTCTGAGTGTATACTCGTTCCTCGTTTAATTCATATTTTTGTAGCACCAAATGCTGCTTATTAAGTGTAGAAATATAAAATATTGATACAATTTAGATCACGCATTTGACAACTCTACCCTCTACATACAATTTATAAGTTTTGCCATTACTTCATGAAAAATTACAAATTAAAAAAAAAACTAATAAGTTTTTATAGACTCCTTAAATTAAAACAATTTAGAAAAAACATACAACATACAGTAGAGACAATAGGAGTCAACGCTGGTTATCAATTAGCGCAATTCTTCTTAATATTAAAAATATAAACCTTGTGAATTTGAACATTTCCACTCATGGTTTGAGTCTTCATCAGCAATCTTTCCCCCTAGCGCAACGGTTGGAGTATTTATTTTGAGAGGAAAAACGTTGGAAATATTATTTTGTTATGCAATACTTCAACCGTTACGCTAGGGGGAAAGATTGCTGATGGAGACTCAAACCATGAGTGGAAACGTTCAAAGTCAAGGTTTATATTTTTAATATTAAGAAGAATTGCGCTAATTGAAAACCAGCGTTGAATCCTATTGCCTATACTGTATGTTATATGTTTTTTCTAAATTGTTGCCATTACTTATTTTATAATATATTTATCGCTCTGCAATAACTTTTTTTAATATTCTCATTCTATTTTATCCTCGAAAAGAATAAATTGTTGACATATACCTATTTAATTTTTTAATAAATATTTGTAACACATAAATATCAAAGAATGTGATTAAATTGATGTTGACATGTGCATGTGATTGATTAAATATTAGATGTATTATCATATATAGGTATATATATATATATATATATATATATGCATCTATACATCGATGTGGAAGACTTGGATTTATTGGCACGATTTTTACAATTCGATCGTTTATACTTTAAATAACTAATTATTATAATTAAACTATATTAAAGAGAGACTTCTTCTGTATTTTTATACCAGGAATGATCCTGCGTAGGTTTTTTGTAGTAAATAAAGTACGAGAATACGCTGCACTGTAGCCAAGATCTGCGTATTATCGCCGTGTCCTACTTCATGATCAATCTTACCGTTCACTTTATTAGGACGAGGAGCACATTGCACTGATACAGTATCAATACGCTCCTCGCCCTGATGAAATAAACGATAAGATTCACGAAACATTGGCATTAGCAATAGATCACGACACGGCGATAACTCACAAACTCTTTAACACATTTTTATGTTAATTTGTGTACGACGACTCTAATGTGCACCGTTGCGCACAGAGTGCATCTAATCGAATTCATTTGTTTTTTTAAATATGAGTCGTATGTACTCTACGTGTCTACATACGTTTGACTTTATTATTTCATTATAAATGTTACTGTTATTAATTAAAATAATATGTAAAGTATAATGACAGAGAAATTTTTCTTTTAACTAATTTTTCTAAAATTTAAATTATTCTCTCAAGCAGTGCGACATTTTAAAACACTTGAAGACTATAATTACTTATTGTATCTCTTGTTCAATCAAATTTTCTTTTTTTATTGTAATATTTCTTTACTGAACTTAGGGAAAAGTACTTACATTATAAAAGAGATAACTTCTCTATCCTTTCTTTCATCATAAATAGGTATATAAACTAAATGTAATGTCAACTTACCTTTTGTGCCAACAATTTCCTCTATTATATCGATAATTATTGTTGATTTTCACGATGTTAAACGTGTTAATTATGAATATTTGTCATTAAAAACACTAAAAACAAGACTAATTCAATGTGTATAGATACGTTAAAATATTTTTATCTGTGTGCCAGGATATGGAAAATTTAATTATTTGCTATTACTGGCGGTGCTACCGGCCAGCTTCTCCAGTATCTTTTCGTCGTCAGCAATATCCTACGTGCTACCATCCGCCGAATGTGATCTTCAGTTAACGATGTTCGACAAGGGACTGTTGAATTCGATGGCATTCGCAGGTAGTACCTTGATCTGCTTAACAATTGCATAACAATACTTTATTACAGATGCCAGAGAGCTCAATGAGAGCCCTGGAACCCTAGAGCTTGGCATACTTAAAGTCTGTACAATTATCGTGCGGTGTACACTGCCGGTTCATTCGTAGGCAATAGTGAGGGCAATACGCGTGAACTCACGGTAAATACCGTACTATTTTTTTTCTTGTCACATGCGAATTCTGACCAACGAATTTTCGGTCGTCTGTTTTCGATGCTTTTGATCCGTGAACAATTAATGGCCGATTAATGCGCCTCTATATAGGCCTCGAGGTACAGTTATCATGGGGCTTTCCTCTGCAACGACTTTTTATTAAAAGAACTTTGAACCAATTGTAAACGTTTGTAATCTGTCATGGCTATTTGTCTTTCTAATTTAAAATTAATAAGATAAAAGTGTTAGCGCGCGCGTGCGCTACACACACACACACACATTTACGAATTGTATTTAAAAAACTCGGTAAAAATTTTTCATGCATGAATATACATAAATATGTATAAATGTTTATAAACATATACAATTGTACATGAAATTGAGGGGATAACCACTAGCTGAAATATTGTCCCACAGATTACATGATTTTATCTGATTACAAATAATATTTTTCACTACTATGAAGTAATTTGGTGAAATATACGATTTTATTTAATATTATACAATTATTTCTCGTGGTTGCATATGTAATTATCGGATTATACATAGAGATTTTATATAAATTTTATAATGATTTCAAGGATTCTGTCCCACGATTACATCAAGTGGTTACCTCCTCGCATGAAATGAATGTATATATGTGTACAATGAAATATATGTTCATACATATTTATATAACCTTCTTTCTTTTTTAAAATTATCTTTTAATGTAATAAAAGTAATCATGCGCTCTCTCACCTCGCCCTGATGAACTGAACGGCAAAATTCACGAAACGTTGGTATTAGCTATGAATCATAACACGGCGATAACCTGTAAATCTTTTGGCACCTCTGAAGAAAATACTCATGAAAACCTCAAAAGTATTATCAATAATAATAATAATAATGATGATGATGATGATGAAAATATAAAAAATAATTTTACAAAAGAAAGAAGAATATATAAACTCTCTTTCTTGTGCGGATATATTTCATATATTTGTAATTGTACGTGTTTATGTATGTTTATATATATTTACATATATATTTACATACATTTATGTATGAAAAATTTTTTACCGAAAAGTAAACGTGATTACATATATTTTTACGTGTTCTCAAAAGGTTGTATGTGTTCTTATTTATCAACAACAAAATTTTAATAAACCAGATATTCTGTCGCAAAAATGCAAACAAAACGGTAAGAAAGAATATATTTAAATATTTAAATTTAATTTTTGAAGGTACAAAAAATATGTAAAATAATTTAAATATTATTTTAGTATTATGCTCTCAAAAATGATAAGAAGCCTCTTATAGAAAAAAGACATTAGTTATATTTGCATTATATGTATAAATTTCCATCTTGTCTCTCGAATCTCTGATTAGAATGGATTTCTTACAAAACGAAAAGTAGGTATTTATCTTCTTTAATTTTAACCGAAATCAATTTCTACCTAGGAGGCCTTTAGGTACGTACTTATCAAATAATCTAGCATCGATTTTGTAAATTCATGGCATGCCGCAAATGCAGGAACAATGTTACTTCAAAACATAAACGTTTTATTTTTGCTGAGTTTCTCGTCCTTACTTTAATGTGCAATTCCTAATGGAAAGTTCGTATTATGACAGCAGAATCGGCTAATCGTTGATTTGTTTTCAGGAATGATTATTACGGCATTCTTCTGGGGTTGTGTTACTGACATATTCGGTCGTAAGAAAATAATGTTCTATGGTTACCTACTTACTGGTCTACTAAGCGTGGCGATGTGTTTCTCACACAAATCTTGGCATTTAATAACGTTTAAATTTTTTGACGGTATGATGTAAGTTGAAATTGAATCAGTCGATGTAGTGATATTACAATACAATTCACATATTCTAATTAACACTGTGTTAACTTAATTGAAAAATGATACAAGTAAAAATTAGCGTTTTGGAGTGAAATGCAATTGATCACTTAAGGACTAATATATCTTTGTGAGAAAATGACACATTTATATAACTTATTTATAAGGATGTAACAGATAATTTATGTAAGATAAGATTTATCGGATAATCGTATATCCAATAATTTGTCATTTATTGCTATCAGATAACCAGATTTTTATCCGGCAATTACACAAAGAGAAAAATTGAAAATCTGATTGTTTTTTTACTGTAGGAAAGGGGATTTTTTATATGTAAATATGCTAAAAGTTTAATAATTAATGCTTATTGAACGGTTTTTCAATATTTTATTATTAATTTTTAATAAATTTAATTATTCAAAATAAATTTATTGGAGACCTATTATAATCTGTAAATTCTATTTTAAGAATCAACAATATCTGTATTAAATTTATCTAAAGTTAAATACTCTCACGAGTCAATAGTAAAATTAAATAGTGCTTTGAAATATATTGAGCAAAATATCATTTAAAATATTTGAAAAGATAAGGTTAAAGTTAAAAATTTAATTATCACACGAACTTCTTGTTATTATAACAAAACCAACAACGTATAAAAAACTAAGAATAAAATTACTACGTTTTCAACTATATAATGCTAAAGATGAGCTGTTTTCTTTAAAAGTGATCTTTATGATACGACTGTGGAAAATATTTGAAAATGTTTCAATAAAATCGCAAATCAAAGTCAGATAACGATACAAGCGTACAAAGAGGGGAGAAGTCTTTTACAAGAAATATTTTTACAAGACAACCTAGTGATAGAACAGAGACAAAAGCAATTATATATTTACTGCAGAAATAGATGAATATCTTGCGCTATTAAAAAAAATTTAAGAAATGCTCTACTAAAAAGTAGCTAATTTTGAAATCTCTCACTTGCTATAAATGTGTGTAGCAATGTATTTTATATTAATTTTTTAAAAATTGAATATTTGTTGGATACTTTGTTATTATTACGTAACAGTTGATTAACAAATTATAGTATATCTGGTCCATATGCGGCACTTATGTCGTATTTAGCGGAAATACACAACGAAGCACATCGATCGAGGTCGTACATGTGGCTTGGCGTGTTCTTCTCTCTGGGAAACATTTCTTTGCCATGTAAGTACAGCTTTGATACACCTTATCGACGTACTTCATCGACGAGAATTAAATTATAAAGCGTCAAATTTTAACGCCGGTAATGTGTGCAATGTTGCAATATACGTGATGCTGATGTTGTAAGAGCTGGAAATAGAAAGAGTTAAAATTGATTTAGAAATTTGTAATAAAAGTGTTGAGAAAACGCATGACAATATTTCATTTTTATGTCAAATACTCAATGTACATTTTGTGACAAATAAATTTTGAACAAAGTTAAATATGATTTTAATTTCTTTATTTGCAGGTATAGCATGGCTTATAATACCTCAAAAGTGGTACATGAAGTTTTTAAGCGATACATTAGAGATAGCTTCCTGGAGAATGTTCTTAGCCATTTGTTCCCTACCCGAATTTTTAGCATGCATAGCCCTTTTCGCTTTCCCAGAGAGTCCGCGTTTCCTTATCTTAAAGGGTCGACATGACGAGGCATTGAATGTCTTCAGAAAAATCTACTCACTCAATACTGGCAAGGATCCCGATACATATCCGGTACGTGCATGTAGAAAAGACGTTTTTTTGTTAAAATATCTAAAAAAAAATTTAGATACTGATCTGAAAATAGTTTTATTGGATTATCAAAATATTTCTCTAGGGCATTCAAATTGGTTGCTGAAATATAAAAATTTTTTACATTATCATTATTGCTTAAACTGCAAAATTATTTTAATGGTCCATCAAAATCATTTTCTAATCTGTTCTAAATTTTTGTACTTTCCATGTTATTATGATAATACTATGTGCATTGTGCATACATCATATTCGAAAATGTATACATATATGTATTAACCAATGTATTTATTAGAAATAATATAAAATTTCAATTGCGTAAAATTAACAAAAATTATATGTTTAAATTGCTTGATTGTGCTACTTATTGGCACAAGTAATTTTACGTTAATTGAGGGGAACGTATAAAATTTGATTGTAAAAACATAATGCTTTATCTATTCACATTTTGGCAATATTATAAAATATGCACAATACACACTGCACATAATAATTACGAGATTGTCGTCGTATTATATTTATTTAAATACATTATGTAATTTATTGTAATAACTTTAATGATTTTAATAATCTTTTATATATAGTGAAGAAGTGGATGAATATGATGAGTATAAAAAACAAAGATATACGTGCAAAAAATGAGACGATTACTGAAATACTTACTTGTACTAAAGAAAGACATGTTATTCTGTACATGAAATGGATAGGAAAGTAAAACACGATAAAGAGAACTCAAAATAGACAAAAAATTAGAATAGGATAATATACACTGACAAGTAACACTAGGGAAGTGATAATCACCGATTACTCTGTAACTGCGCATATAAGTAGTTCCTTAGAAACTATTTGACACGTGATTTTTTGTTTTTCTCCAAAAACGGTTTTTGGGGTAAAAATCACCCTTGCAAGTTTTGGGGTGAGTTAAAATATTATATTATTTTATTATATAATAGTATTTGTAGGATTTCTATGAAACTTGGTATCTAAGGGTTTTTAGTGCCGCTGATATAGAATTTGAAGTCAGCTTTTGAAAATTTAAAATGGCAGGTCTAATATGGCGGATGAATTTTCTAATTTTTTCAGGATTTTTATGAAACTTGGTATTTTAAGGGCTTTTCGAG